ATTATACTAAACCAATTATTGGACGACGAACTTAATCGGGACTATTATAGAGATGAATTATTTTTGAAGTAGTTAAATTGTAATAGGGGGTATTTAGAAATAAAAGGGGAGAAGAATTTATAAGATATTGATCTTAGAATTTTAATATTCTTAAAAGGTGATTTTTGGAGAAGATCGAAGTAGAAGCTTCCGTTAGGATTAATCGCGATTGGAGGTAAGTTTCACGTCAACCAACATTATATTTTTTCCTCGTAAATCATTTTTGAAATTTATGAGTACTTTCTGAGATTCTAGTATTTACATTTGAGTATTTGGAATTTCTTATGGATTGTTATTGAGAATTATATTTGAGATTTGAGTATTGGATATTGGATGATATTTTTGAGTATTTGAGATATCTTATGAATTGTTATTGGAATTATATTTATAAAGTATTTGGCTCTTTGTGAAATTTTATTGTATGATGAATTCGAGTGTAGTTTGTGGAGTTAATATTTTACATTTTGGATAATTTTGTGGAGTTTGGATTTCATATCCGTTTTGATTGAGATTGAATTATGATTTCGTGAGCACCCGGAGAAATCCGTGGTGTCGGTTTGCCACATTCGGATAAATGTGGAATATTTGGTGAGTGGTAATGGCTATAAGTCTAAATCCACCAGGGGTACTTCCCAAAAGCGGAGTATCCCAACTTAATTGTAGTGTAGTTGGTAGAAAAATCCCGACTACTCGGGCTTCTTACTACCCGGAGGGCTTGGAATCCCTTTTAGGGGGTGTGCACACTTAAGGTAGGAGTTCGGCTTCCACTGGACTTGGTTTGACTGGAATTCGATTGGATTGAGGTGATTGAGATTATTTGATTGACTTGATTTTGACTTGAGGTGAATATTATTTGATTGGATTTGTGGTGGAATTGAATTATTGAATTGATTGGAATTGTTGGATTATTGGATTGGATTATATTTGGATTGAATTTGAGTTGGATTGAGTTATTAAATTATTTGTGAATTTTTAGAGTATAAATACTTTTGGATTTGATTTGGTTTAATTATTTTGAATATTGTTTATAATTATGTATTTTGAGATGAATATTTGATTTTTGATTTATGCTTTGAAATTATTGTGATCATATTTGGTGGTTTATGTATATTGATATTTTGGAATTAGTATGGTTTTGAAATATGTACTTATATTTGAAATGTTGATATTTTGCATATTATTGTGTTATAAGAATATTTTATAAATGTTGTTTTACTTATGATTTATAAATTATTTTGAAAATATATTTTACGAAATGTTTTACAAATATACATATATTTTTTTTTGAGGGTTAGGTGGAACTTACTTAGCATTGTTGCTGATGTTTGTTTCTTTTATTTTTTTCTGTACCTGATTTTGTACAGGTGTTGAGTTGATCTCGTTGAAGTTGATTTTGAGAGAGCTTCCGCTAGAACATCAAATTAGTAAATAATTGTAATTACATTTTTCAGCATCTTAAATTAGTGAACATTTATTTTAAAAGTTTAATTTATTTTTAGTTTAAGTTGTTTTAGCCTGTGCACTCGGTTAAGGGAGAATCGAGTGTGGCGGTAACACCCTATTTCCCTTTTGATTTCCGCTGCACAATTCTGATGTTTTCAAATAAAGATAATAAATAATGTTTTGTTTAAAGGTATTTTGGGTGGGAAATTTGGGGGTGTTACATGGCCACACCAATAGTTGCCTCCATCAGAATCAATCAGAAGCCAACCGTTCAACTTCTCAACCAGCTGCACCTACTCCGGCCAAACCAGCCGCACACAATGAGCCAAGCAACGCCTACAACACAAACAACTCACTCAGTGGCCAAGACCGATATTCCATTGGCCACAAAGTATAGTAAGATAAAAACGAAAGCCCTAGGCCCCTTGTACAGAACCCATTGATGATAGCCTCTGGCCCGCGACCTTCGTCCAAGGGTTCTCCTATAGGGTTATCTTGGTCAGCGATCGCCAAGAGGTGTGTTCATGAGGAATGCGAGGGTTTCGCTTTGTCCTAAAACACTACCTTACTCCTTCACACCTAACATGCTCTTCGGCATGAAGGAGTGGGGGAATGGGGGACTATATCGGCCTCTAAACTTTTGAAAAAACTCTAAAGGTAATCAAACTCAAAAATAGAGATCACACTTCACCGTCCATAAGAAACAAATGTAGGGGGTCTACATCAGCCTAAAAAACAATAACAATAAGCCGGCCACCAGATAACACCAATGGTTTCGCCCAAGGAAGCCAATGGGTCATGCTACATCTAGATACAAGGAAAGAGCAAGCAACAAAACTATCAATGATTCCGCTTCGGCCAAGAACATGAAAACTACAATGATTTGCTCCGTTTCACTTCGTCTGCATCTCAGCTCAGATAGTGGGGCACTCCTGATAGAGTATATGGGCCCAGACCCCACAGTACACATACTCAGAAGACCAAATACAAAGAAAGCTGGCACCCATGTGGTCCTCCATCGATCATATGGCCCTCCGTCGGCCGAATACCTACCAACCCAGAGTATGGTCCAAAAGTCCGGGAGTAGAACTTGGTCCTCCGTCAGCCAGACCCTCCATCGGTCTGGTCCTCCTTCGGCCAGCGAGACTCAAGCAGAACTAGATCTTATACCTAGTCAAATAAATCATGTACTCAGCCCATTAGAGGCCTTATTTTGTACAGGCCCAAGACATGGGGGCCCAAACCCACATTTTCCCTATAAATACTCCCCTTAGTGGTAGTTGTAGGAGGTTGAGAAATATTAATTGCTCACTTTTTCTCTCCAGCTCTCACTTCTCTCTAGATCAATACTCTATCAAATCTAATGCTATATGAAACTTTGGAAATATGCATTGATATAACATTTTAAAATGAGCACAATAGAGGTACTAAATGAACATACATATCTTACAAAATGAGTATTCAAAATTCAAAAGCTCATTTATGTACGTTCATTCTTTTTAAGTGTTTTACTCATTTGAGTTTAAAATAAAGCTCATTTCTAATGTGCTCACTATTAATATATAAAGTTGAACATTAAATTAATTGAATCATTAAAGTTGTGAGTGAAAAAAGGAAAAAGGGGAAAGTTGGAGGTTCTGAAATGCAACAATTGTGGAGGATATTTTTAAGAGAAGAAAGACACTTGTGGAGCTTTTATGTCTGGCCTAACAGACGAAATCGAGTTATCCAAACCTCCCGTGTGTGGCGTAGCAGAGAAAATTGAGGGAGTGTGTGGATCTGATTCTTAAAACTGCTTCTGCTCCTTCGGAGGGCAGAATCAGAAGTTGGAGTGTTTAAGTGAAAATGCACAAGTTATTCAGGTGTTTTTAGTTTTTTAGAATTAGGACACGTTTACTTCACGGGTTAGTAAACGGTGTTTATTAAGACTCACGTTAATAAACAGCGCATAAAATAAGCAGTGTTGTAAGCTCATGTTTACTTCAAAGGATTTAAAACACCGTTTAACATTAAAATGTCTAAAATAACCCTATAGATATACACACACAAGCATTCATGAACACAAGTATATAATACTACCTCCGTCCCTTAAAACTTTGCCAAAGTTGACCGGCACGGAGAATAATAAAGTAAAAACTGCGTGGTTGAAGTTTGTTCAGAGGAGAGAGAAATAAGAGAAACCACAAAATAATTGATTAAAAGAGAAAGTGACAAAGTTTTTTGGGACGTCTCAAAAAGGAAAGATGGCAAAGTTTTAAGGGATGGAGGGAGTATAATATGTGGGGTCACCTCGTACGCTTAGTCTCTTACCCACACCCCTAACCCTTACCCCGCCTTGTACCCTCGCTCCTCACCCTACCCCCAATTCCACACCGTGCCCTTGACCCCCACCCCTTCCCTACCCCTACCCTTACCACGACCTTACCCTCCACCACCCCGGCCTACTCCCACCCATACCAACCCCCCCACCCTACTCATAGGGGTTGGGTCGAGGTAGGGGCATGTGATATGGGGTAAAGGGGTAGGGGATCGGGTAATGGGAGTGGGTGGGATCGGGGTCAGGGGTGGGGTCGAGGTGGGGTTGATGTAGGGGTAAGTAGTTAAGGGTAAAAGGGTAAGGTCGAGGTACGGGGTATAAGTGGGGGTAGGGGGTAGGGGTGAGGGTAGGGTCGGGGTCAGGTCAAGGTAGGGGAAGGTGGTAGGGGGTAAAGGGGTAGGGTAAGGGCCGAGGTGAGGGGTAGGGCAGGTGGTGGAGGGTAGGGTTGGGGTAGGGATTAAGGGGGAATGGGGTGGTAGGGTATGGGTTGGGTAAGGTGGTGGGGGAGGGGTCGGGATTGGGGTGGGGTCGAAGTAGGGGCAGGTGGTAAGTGACAAAAGGGTAGGGTCGAGGTAGGATAAAGGTAAGGAGTACTAGTGGGGGTGGGGTCGAGGTAGGGGCAGGTGGTAGGGGTAAAAGGGTAGGGTCGAGGTAAGGGGTACAAGTGGGGTAGGGTAGGGGTAGGGGTGGGTTGAGGTAGGGGCAGGGGGTAAAGGGGTAGGGTCGGGGTACGGAAGGGGTAGGGGTAGGGGTGGGGTCGGGTCAAGGTAGGGAAAGGTGATGGAGGGTAGGGTCGGGGTAGGGGTAAGGTGGGGGTGGGGTATGGTCGGGTCAACGGTGGGGGTCGGGGTCAGGGTAAGGTAGGGTAGGGCGGGGTAGTGGGGTAGCGATAGGGTAAGGGAAAAGGGTAAAGGTAAGGGTAAATTCGGAAACTAAAAAAGTTAAAGTGCTGCGTAATTAATACATGGGGATGGTATGCTTAGTAAGCGGAACATTAAGCATCTCTTTCGATTAGTAAGTAGCGTTTTAAGCAACTTGCGTGTTTACTTCACATGTCTTACTAACCTAATTGTGACTTTAGCACCGAAGTAAACTCGAGCGGAGTAAACCCTAGCCTAAGTAGCGAAGTAATTCTCATTTTGTTTGGGAAATCAGTTTTAAACGACCCTTGGTCAAACTCCGCTGGTTAGGATGATTGAGAGGAAGACTATCGGCAATCCAAAGCTTAAAGTTAAAGTTGGTATATATTACAAAAAAAAACTGCTCCTGTCAAAGGCCTCCTCTGCGCACAAGGCCTCCTCCAGGATGATCCGGAACTAAACGGGGAGGTGTCCATATTTCCATGATCAAGGCGGTCCAAGGTCATTAACATACAAGTCTGCCGCCTTCCGGTGCGTAAGGAGGCATGGCTGTTGGGGCTACCTTTTCCGGTCACAATCTGCGATTTCCAACATCAGCTGAAGCGATAATGTCTTCTTATTCCCCAATCCCTAAGCATCTGCCATCGGCGTTTGCATGTGCTGCCATGATCAGCAAGTCAGGCATCTCCGCGAGGAATTCAGTGACACAACGTCACACCAACAATACTCCGAGGTATGACCGGGGCTCTAACGAGGGAAATTTGACGAAGGATTACTTACAAGAGTCGAAAGACTTACTCAGATCTGACGGCGGCCCGCCTCGCTGGTTATGTCCGTTGGATTGCTCCTCCATCCGGCCACAACATTCCCCGCTATTGCTCTTTTTGCCAGGTTAGGTCATTAATAACTGTAACACTATTCGAGCTAAGCTGTTTTGAGCCGAGTCGTGTTACTGTCATCTGTAATTTGCCTGGAAGGCTGGAATACCTAGACAGTAGTAAGCTGATGATTTATAACATTAATATCCTTCCTTTTCTAGAAAAAGTTCAACATAACGGTTGGCCTTATTAAAGATGTGTAACTATTTTTGGGAACGTTTGGTGAAGCTGAGCACGGTTGTCTGGTTTGAGCCTTTTGATCAGTTTGCACAAAAAAACATCATCAAGTGTTTTACCCCACTCGTTGCTTACTTTTAGATCAGTTTGCACAAAAAACATCATCCCCCAATCACTTTAAAGTAAGGCTTTGCGAAACAGATACCCTAACTCCCAACACTCAAATTAAAATATTATTTTAAAAATGTTCTTATTTTCAACCGCACTAGGATGTAAACATTGTTATTCCTTGATCCATAAAAATGGCTTTTATTATTGCATTTTGTTAGGTAGTAGAAGAGTGGATGGAATTTTGTTGCAACTGTTCTGGATCATTACTCTTTCAGGGGTTGAAAATATGACAGTTTACCTTTTAAATTAGTTTTTTTGCTTACGTATTGTAGGCATTGATGGTGTTGGGCTCGGACTTTTATCACACCACAAAGCACTGGGAGAGTAAGAAACATCCCCCCATTTGCTAGTATAGATTCAGTTCCCATTTCTAGCAATTAGTTTTAAACAATTTCATTATAAAATGCACATAATTTTTGTTGTTGGAATCTTTGACAAACTTTTTTCTTTCAATTACTCTTGGCATTAAGGATTTTTGAGGTTTGCTGCTTGCATATTCCTCTAACAGATAGATCCACATTTACAGGTCAGTTCTTTTAACTATACCCCCCTCCCCCGTCTCTTGAATATAGTTATTTACCATCTTACCGATAGAGCCACAACATCACCAGCTAAAAACTTTTCTGCGCTTTCAAAATTAAATATTCACAGAACTCAGAAAGAAAGTCCTAGCCCCATGAAATGAAACTCTGTCTTTTGCCCGTCTATAGCTTTTGCAATTGAAGACAGGCTTTGTTGCAATTTGAATGTGGCCCGAGACTACTGTTTGAAAAATCTCAGCGTACCCGTTCCATTTTTTTTTTGTCTAAATGGGTTTGTGAGCCCTGGCGTTAGACCCCCCTCATCTGCTGCTTAATGGTGATATTTGTTAAGTTGGGTTTAACCTACCTCAAATGATCATAAATAAGTTAGGATTACCGATTTCCTCACACTTATATATTAGGTTGGAGCCTAATAGACAATCCTTGTGGAATACGCATCATTATTATTAATGGCAGCCTTGGCGGGTGAAGATCATTCCTCCGTATGGCCCCGACGCCCCGCTATAACCCGGCCCTCTTCGCAAATTTCATATGACCTGCTATGTTTTCGATTTTTTGCCACCACCAGTTGCTACTAGCTAGATGCTGCCCATTTTGTTAGAACAGTATAGGTGTGAGGTTAACTTAACATGCTTCATTCCTGATGTCATATGTTTAGATTTGGTTAAACTTGTTGAAGAAACTGTTAGGTCTGAGTATTCTAATGCACCAAAAAGACCCATTTATCTTGTTGGGGAGTCTATAGGCGCTTGCCTTGCACTTGCTGTTGCTGCTCGTAATCCCGATATTGATCTTGTGTTAATTTTGGCCAATCCAGGTGAGAAGCTTTCTATTTTTTACGTTTCTTTGAATAAAATCACTAAGTTACTGATCATTTGTCATTCGATATAAATTACTTAGTTTGGAAATTTCTTCTTGTTAGCCACATCTTTCAGCAGATCTCGGCTGCACTGTTTATTGGGTCTAACAGATGCCACGTCTAAGCTATCCTACCCTACCATAATTTACTTATTGAGATTTGTCTTAGGTTTGTTGCCTTATGCCCTTATCTTAAATAAAGTTCAATTGCATATTTGAGGAGAATATTTTCTTGTAAACAAACTTGACATTAGATTTGACATTATAGTAATAACACAACTGCTATTGTGATTAGGTATTCCTTTAAGAATGACTGTGTCTATATTTGGAAAAAGGTTGTCTATGCAACAAACAGCTGAGGAGCTAACTCAAAATGCTGCAGCTCTTTCATCCTGTGTTTTTGTAAGATTCAATGAAATGCTTGAGATAATTGGCTATAATATATAACCCTTCTCTTCATTTATTCCAATTATCCGTGCACTATGAACAAGTTCATGATGCCAAAACAAGAACTTGATGCCAAACTTAATCCATTTTATCTAAGGATGAGCATTTGGATTCAGTTTGGGTAATTGGGTTGAGTCCGAGTTTAGTTTTTTCTTTGTTTTTGTTGGGGTTGTATTGTGTTTGTCATTGTTTTGGTTTCAATCAGTTCTGGTTTGGTTCAGATTCATACAAGAGAAAACATTACCAAACTAAAATTGTATCACATGTGGGTTGGGTTTGGTTCAGCGTTGATAGGTTTCGGTTCAGTACTTCTGTTAGGTTAAACTGAACCAAAATGATTGAGTGGTAATACTTTTTTGGTATGATATTGGCTGGTTATTTTTGCTTTTTATTTTAATTATTTATAACCAGGAAGAATGATGGTAAAATGTCACAGGTGCTGGCTCATGTTTTACCATTAGAAACACTTTTTTGGAGGCTGAAGATGCTTAAGTCAGCTGCAGCTTATGTTAATTCTAGACTCCATGCAGTTAAAGCCCAAACATTGATACTCTCTAGGTGCTTTTGACTAATTCTCCCTTGCTTTCCTAGTTTCAATGAATTTATATAAGTGTTACTACTACGTTCCAAATGTGAAACAGATTGTTATGCTTTATATGTAGTGGTAGAGATGAACTTCTACCCAGTCAAGATGAAGGTGAAAGACTTCGCCGTGTCCTACCAAATTGCGACATCCGAGAATTTAATGACTGCGGTCATGCCCTTTTCATGGTAAGAGAGAGTTTACCCTTACATCATCCATTAATTTAGAGAAGTAATTTGGCATTATAAGTTTCATGCCACCAATTCCCAATGTTGTTAAGACAAAACTAGCTCCTCTCTGATGTTGCTCAGTCTGTTTTACATGTTATTCAGAATATAAATTACAACTCTAAGCTTAGGTCTTCCCTCTGGTAAACGAGTGGCCATGTTTACGGTGAGGGTCGCGATGCGATTGACCATCGTCACCCCTCGGCCCTCACCATATATAGGAGTTCTAACCGCGCTGCAACTTTCTTTCTAAGTTGTATTGCCACATGCAGGACCAATCGTACCGCACATAACAGTTACACTCAAACCCAACCGCACTGCAGGTACAACCCTCTAAAGCTTCAAATCTTGTCACACCCCACCAGTTTTACCAGGGGAGGGGGATCTTAGGTCACTGCATGTGAAATGCATCTGTCCTAGACAGTTTGCTCTTTTTTCTTATCAACACTGGTAAATGCTACCCAATGCTTAATTGAATTGTTCTTTTTCCTGCCAGGAAAAAGACATGGATTTAGTCTGTGTCATTAAAAAAGCTGGAATTTATAAACGTGGAGTGCGCCGTGACTGTGTCTCAGATTACCTGCTACCAAAACTTTCAGAGTTTCAAAGAGTGTATGAACCATTCAGGTATTATTACTGCGGAGGATGGTTGAACTAAACAAATTATTTATTTATTATTTCCGGTAAATCTTAGTTCCTGCATCACATATCCACATTGGTTGCATAAATATTACATAGAGGCGATAGGTAGAGATAAACCCTCTAGGATAAACTCAGGTTTAATTCTATGCTACTGTTGCATTTGTTTTTTTTTGTTTTCATTAATCTTTCATGGGGTAAACCACTTTGTAAGTTTTGATCTTCATTGAGCCCTGTTTTCTAACGTTAGGCTCTGTTTTAATATGTTCTAGATGGAAAACTGGCCTACCATTTTACAGGGCCTAGCACCCAGTCAGGGATTAGTCGGGGTTGAACGGGATCTGAGTAGAACTGGGCTGGGCTTAGGTGGGGGAAATCCCTAGGAGCCCAAGGAGAGCCTACCACCCAACAGTAATCGGTGTTAGGTGGAAAAATGTCTCAGCAATGATGATGTTAGGTATGTTAGTATTATACTGTACTATTGTAGTCCCTCATTGTCAACTCGGTGCAATTATGTCCCTCAATTATGTTAAAATAGACAATTAAGTCAATCACACCATAGCTATAGAGTCATTCAACTTAAGCAGATGTTGCAATTTCTGAAAAAGGAGCGTACTCATTAAGGTCTCATGTACATGTTTAGGTGGACCGAGGTTGCCTTCAATCCTGTGATGGTCTCGACCTTGGGAAATGGGAAGATTGTGGAAGGACTTGCTGGGATTCCATCAGAGGGACCTGTTTTAGTTGTCGGTTATCACATGATGCTGGGAGCCGAACTGATTCCTTTGGTGTCCCGTTTTTTGCTCGAGAAGGAGGTTGTCCTTCGCGGGATGGGTCATCCTATGATGTTTTCAAGACAGGGAGAAGGGGGGTTGTTACCGGAGTTATCATCATATGATCCATTCCGGTACATGGGCGCTGTGCCTGTATCTGCCTCCAACTTCTTTAAACTTATGTCCTCAAACTCCCATGTCCTACTCTATCCAGGTGGTATGCGGGAAGCTCTTCACCGGAAGGTATAAATCAACCTTCCAAAACTTTTGCTTAGAGTGCAGGTTTTAATGAAAACAGATTAATGATATTTCCAGTACTGACTTGACTTGAACAAACCAGACCGGACTTAGACAGTAGTAAAATACACAAAAAAAAGATTTTTGAGACTAGTTCAAACTAGATTAGATTTAAACTAAACATACAAGATAAGACCAGACCAGACCAGAAAATTTCAGACCAAGTGAAAACATCCTAAAAGTGTGAAGTACTTTTACCAAGTTATCCGTCAAAGTGGGCCCTAATGATTTAATCCTTTATAAATTTTAAAAGTTAGTTAGTACTCAGCCATTTATGAAAAGAAAAGAGTAAGTTAAACATTAAGGAAATTTAAAGGAAAGAGGCGGAATATTGTTATGTGCTGGGTTTTTTTGCATCAAGGGAGTGAATTGAAAGGAGAAACAGGACGGTCCTGGAATTTTATCAGCATACAAAGCTCCCTTTTAAAATAGGGATTGCATGCATTGATGCATATGAACGACTAAACAATGAAAGGAAAATCCTAGAAAATGTCTCCCTTGAATGGATTAGTTAATAACGGTATTAAAATCATATCAAATTGAAACCAATCAAGCAAATTAATGTGCTATAACTCGCCTCAATCTTCTACTTGGTCATTTTTCTCTCTACAGTCTTGCAATATAGCATGCATCATTACACCCCTCCTGGAAAATCACGCTTGTCCTCAAGCTTGAAAACTTCAACCTTGTTGCACTTGTAAAAAGTGCCAGTGATCCTTGTATTATTTAAGGAGGTTGAGAGTTTGTTCTAGAGGTGAACTAAAGCGAATGTGAGTAAAATCAATTAGAAACTCCCTTTAGAAAATACAGTAAACTGGGACAGTCTTGGTGGACTGAAAGTCAAAGTAGGTTCTTTTGAATAGTTTTTTTCAAGCAAGAAAATGGAGTGTGAAGTCCAATATAGTTCAAAAAATGGTGTGCAAAGTCAATTCCCTCCCTAATTGGTATTCTCACATAACAATTAAGTGGTGCATATATCTTTAGGGTGAAGAATACCAGTTGTTCTGGCCAGAGCAGTCTGAATTCGTGAGGATGGCAGCCAGATTCGGAGCCAAAATTATACCTTTTGGCGTTGTTGGAGAAGATGACATTGGTGAAGTATGTCCTAACCATTTCTACCCCCCCTGTGTAATTTTGTTTTCCCAATTGTTTAGTCATTTAAATATAAATCCCTATTGTCATGACTCATGACTCATAAGTGAGCAAATGTCATCCTCAAGTATTTGGAGTAGTTTTATGAAACCATATGTGACTCCCTTATGGAGTCACATGGGGTGTTGTGGCATTATCTCTACCATTTTTTTTTAGTGGGGTCCCCCACTGTAAACTGAGTAATAAGAATTAAAGATGCAATGAAATCACACTTCATTATCATTAGGTATGGCCAGCATAAATACATACAAGCTAGGGAATACAAAAAGGAAACTAAATCTGTCAGATTTACCTAGAATATTTAGTCTATCGCAGAGAATATATTAGCTACCATATATATACATAGAATATATTGACTATTAAATATGTATATTCTAACACTCCCCCTCAAGCTGGAGCATAGATATTATTCATGCCCAGCTTGGTACAGATGAAATTGATACGTGTCCCCGGTAGAGCCTTGGTGAACACATCTGCCAGTTGGTTTCCTGTTTTGATGTGTGAAGTGCAAATTGTACCATCTTCTACCTTTTCTCGAGTAAAGTGACAATCAACTTCGATGTGTTTTGTTCTTTCATGAAAAACAGGATTATTTGCTATATGGATAGCCGCTTGATTATCACACCATAATCTCATGGGTTCTGTTTGAGTAAATCCAAGTTCACCAAGCAAATGCTGAAGCCAAACCAGCTCACATGTAGTCTGTGCCATAGCTCGATATTCAGATTCTGCACTTGATCTAGAAACAACATTTTGCTTCTTACTTTTCCAAGATACAAGGTTTCCTCCAACAAAGACACATTAACCAGTGGTGGAATGTCGGTCATTAGGGTTTCCAGCATAATCCGCATCAGTAAACCCTTCAATAACATGAGCCCCCTTCAAGTATCTTAGGATATGAGTAACTGCATCCCAGTGTGATGTTCGTGGAGTGGATAGAAACTGACTGACCACACTAACCGGGAAAGCAATATCAGGCCGGGTGATAGTCAAATAATTCAGTTTCCCAACAATCCTTCGGTATACCTTAGGATTTTCCAGCAAGTCGCCTTCATCAGCTGTTAACTTTACATTTGGGATCATCGGAGCATCACACGGTTTTGCCTCAACCAAACCTGCATCATTTAGCTTATCTAGGCAGTATTTTCTTTGAGACAAGTAAATTCCCTTGTTACTACGTGAGACTTCTATCCCTAAGAAGTACTTCAAGGGCCCAAGATCTTTGGTCTGAAAGCAAGTAGAAAGGAAAGCTTTCAGTTTCAAAATACGACTCGCATCACTGCCAGTGATCACGATGTCATCAACATACACAACTAATAGAATGCATCCAGAATTTGAGGTAGAGAAGAAAACTGAGTGATCATAGGCACTCCTGCGTAGGCCAAATTTAAATATTGCAGCACTGAAACGGCCAAACCAAGCTCGTGGGGATTGTTTCAGACCATACAACGATTTCCTTAATTTACATACCTTTCCAGACTCCCCCTGAGCAAGAAACCCTGGTGGTTGCTCCATGTACACTTCCTCGCTAAGGTCACCATTCAAAAAGGCATTTTTAATATCAAGTTGATGGAGTGTCCAATTGTAAGTAGCAGCCAAAGAGATAAACAATCGAATGGATGTAAGTTTGGCAACAGGAGAGAAGGTGTCAAAGTAATCTATACCATATGCTTGAGCATAACCCTTAGCTACTAGCCGTGCCTTTAAACGAGCAACCGAACCATCAGGATTCATTTTGACAGTGAACACCCATTTACACCCAATAGCTTTCTTATCGGGTGGAAGATATACAAGGTCCCATGTGTGGTTCTGGTCGAGAGCCATTATCTCCTCTCGCATTGCCTCTTGCCAACCAGGATGAGTCAAGGCCTCAGAAACAGTTGAAGGAACAACAATAGAATCTAAAGAAGCAATAAAGCTCTTGGAAGAAGATGACAATGTATTATAAGTAACAAAGGAAGAAACAGGATAAGTACAAGTACGAGTACCTTTTCGGAGGGCGATTGGGAGATCAAGGTCGGAGGGAGCAGAATCTGGAGGCGCAGAAGATGGCAGCGGTACACTGGTAGCCATAGTAGGTGCCGTAGTCACATGGCGCACACGACGAGAGTAAACTTTGAGGGGAGGAGGTGGAGGAGGTGGAGGAGGAAGGAAAGTTGATGGAGAAGTCTGATTGGGGGGGACAGATTCTAGCTGGCTGGTGGTATAGACCAGAAACTCATCATTAGAGAGTTCCAAAGAAGATGATGAAGATGAACTATGCTGAAAGAAGGGTGTTTCTTCAAAAAATGTGACATCTGGAGAGATAATATACCGTCCCAATGAAGGAGAATAACATCGATATCCTTTTTGTAACCGGGAATAACCCAGAAAAACACACTTGATTGATTTAGGATCAAGTTTTGAGACCTGGGAACGCATATCCTGGACAAAGCATGTGCAACCAAACACACGAGGCACAAGAGAGAACAAGGACTGAGAGGGGAATAAAACGGAGTACGGAATCTGACCATTAAGAACAGAGGAAGGCATACGATTGATAAGGTAACACGCAGTGGAAACAGCGTCTACCCAAAATGGTTTAGAAACCCCCATGTGAAATATTAAGACTCGAGCTACTTCTAGTAGGTGACGATTCTTTCGTTCAGCTACACCATTTTGTTGAGGTGTATAGGGACAAGAAGTGTGGTGTAAAATCCCATGGCGAGATAAGTAAGTCTGAAAAGTGCTAGATAGATAGTCTTTAGCATTATCACTTCTGAGAATGCGTATATTCTTATTAAATTGAGTTTGAATTTCAGCATGAAAGGTACAAAATGCAGTAAACACATCTGATCGGGATTTCAAAGGATAAAGCCAAGTAACCCGTGAAAAATCATCCACAAATGTAACAAAATAACGATGACCAAGTTTGGAAACGACAGGACAAGGACCCCACACATCAGTGTGAACTAAATCAAAACTAGACTCAACACTTTTATTTATTCGAGTAGGGAAATTTGTTCTATGATGCTTAGCAAACTGACATGCTTCACACTCCAAAACAGACTCCCGTGATAGACTAGGACACATTTTTTGTAGTACAGAAAGAGACGGATGACCAAATTGACAGTGAACTTTCAACAGAGACGAACTTGTGCATGCAACTGATCTCGGCACCAAGGATTCAAAAACATATAAGCCATTAACCAGTCTACCTTTACCAATAATCTGCTTTGTCCCAAGATCCTGAAAAAGACAATGAGTGGGAAAGAAAATAACACAGCAGTTTAGGGCTTTAGTAATCTGACTGACTGAGATTAAATCAAACGGAAATTGAGATAAATATAGAACAGAAGATAGAGAAAGGTTTGGACAGGCTTGTCATGGCGTCGCCTAGGCGTCGCCTAGTCGCCGACTAGGCGTCCTGGCGCTGAGGACAGGTCGCCGGAGTTACTCGCCTCGCCGGAAGAAGAAATGGCGCGCCAGGCGTCGTCCAGGCGCGATGAAGGCGACAAGTCGGCGCCTTTTTCCCAAGTCGATCGCAAGCCCAGATCCCCAGAGGCCCAGAATCCCAAATGCGAAGTAAAATGGATTTTAGGAAACTATTTTTTGGAAACTAATTAACTATAAAGCCCAGGCTCCAAAGCCCCAAAATAATCTACTCGTTATTCCTTAATTAATAAACTTACGAAGTACGAAGCACTGAAGCAGACGACTTCCCAGAACTCCAGGAAGAAGAGGTCTCGCAGATCGCCCTCTCTGCCTTGTCCCTCGCTGAAGCAGATGACTTCCCAGGTTCAGGCGTTCAGCTCTCTTCTCGATTTCTCGTCTCATAGTTTCAAATTTTAATTTAGTCTATTTGATGGAGCACTCAACTTTATGTTGCACTCATAAAAACCAAGTCAGTAGCTTCTCGATTTCTCATAATGACTAATGAGTTGCTACTTGCTGAGTCATTGTTTATTTTTGAAATAAGACATTAGTTAATTGTTTACTATTTAATATTCAGTTTTTTAGAAAAAATGTTATTATTTAACATTATTTCCTTTTACACAAATTAATATTGTCAATATTACTTAGTTATTTGTTTTAGTTATTAATTGTGGATTTCAATTCTAAGTTATGTATACATTTTAGTTAGTAATATATTATACATAATATATAATTAAATATATAATTATATATGTAAATATATAATTATATATATAATATATAATATAAATATATAATATACACATATAGGTGACTAGTCGCCTAATTGTCGCCTAGGCGGGTGCCTTGTCGCCTAGGCGATATGGTGGTGAGCTGGCGCCGCGACTCGACTTACCGCCGTGACAAGTATGGGTTTGGAGAAAGAGTTGTTGTTCCAAGGCCATTGACAGATGCGGTTGATCCATTTGCTAAAGTAACATGAGACTGGTTAGCAGAAGAGGTAAATGAATCCAAAATACTTTCATTACCAGTCATATGGTCCGTTGCGCCAGAATCGATCACCCAATTGCGTGATGATGTAGAGAGGCATGCAGTTGGATTACCTGTATCAACTTGTGTGGTGGCAGATGAGGCTGTGAGAGAAAGTTGTTGTAGCCGAGCATATTCATCGACTGAGATAGTAACAGTGGAAGGAGTTGGTAGGATACCATCCTGGATAACCGTATTAGCAACACGCCTGGGAGGAAACTGTCCAGAAGTCTGTGGTGGACGACCATGTAATTTCCAGCAATTCTTCTTCACATGACCCTCAGCTCCACAGTGATAACATGTGCGAGAAGAATTACGAGTCCCTTCAGTAGTGACTGAATTGGTCCTTTTACCATGGCTCACATCACTGACTAAGGCAACAGTATCAATTGAGTTCATCATTCTGGATTCTCCATCTTTGCACACTGGAAGGAGACGTCCATAGAGGTCAGAAAAACTAGGAAGGGTCCCACCAGACAGTATTTGACTCCTTGATACCTCAT